GATACATTCACACCGGAGTCTACTTGACCCATAAAAATTTTATGCAACTCTGAGGAAAAGTTACTGTTGTTAAAGAACCATTTTGGAAACCAAAGTGCCTGTTTCAACAGCGGAGCCTTGATCCTCTAATGCAGTCAGTATTTTGGATGACTGCAGGTGTACATGTAGTTATGAATTTGGAATGGTCCAGGAATATTTAAGAACAAAAATACCTCTGATGTAGAGGTTAATTTCTCATGAATAATGGCTACAGAACGTTTTGGCAATTTTCTACCCTAACCTTCATAATATACCCTTATGTAAAAACAGGATGGATCTAAGGAGTGTCTTTCAGCATGTTATTGCCAATTCCAATGTTTGGTATTTGCTGTGATTTTATAGTAATATTAATAATGTGTTTTTCTTTTTTCTCCTCGTACATTTTAGCCTTCAGAACTTGTTTTCTTTGCAGCGTTTGCCCTGTAGTCGTGAGGGATTTTTACATACTTGTAAAAGATCTGACATAAAACATTAGTCCAGTAGCTGGAGCATTAAAAAGCAAGAAACATAACACTTGTGATTCTGAGAAGTGGTAATACTGCTTTTAGAATTTAGGAAGCCTTTTTTTAATGGAACATTTATATGCTTGTATGTGAATCCATTACATGACATACACCGTGGTTAGCAACAGCTTTTGTGTATCATGGCTCAGGTTCCCATGCACTCCTGACAGTATGTATATTCATGAGATTCATGACATTTTCATGCATCTGCTCTTATAACAGATTTCGTTTCAAAGCAGCACTTCATTGATGTAGTACACTGACACATTTTACGTGTAATTGCTTTTCATCTGGTTGTATGATTATTTTGTGACACCTAGTGGATAAATTGATAGTAGTGCCAATTTGAACTTCCTTGTATTTTTTAGATTCTCTTGATAGACATTCTGGCCTGAAAACTCAATTCACATTACAAACACATAGACTCTCTTGCTTTCTTACTTTCTCTCTCTCTGCCCTTTTTTTTAATCTTTAACTTTGCTCATGGAATAACTTGATCATAGCCAGGTGAACAAATACCCAACACCAGCCTTGAGGAAATTCCAAGAGTCCCAGAATAATACAAGGTAGTAAACGTTTGAAAATTTCATTATACTGTTTAGTCAGTATCCCTGCGTATGCAGCATGTGATCTTCACACATTAACTTCACACATTTCCACTGTATCAACTTCTCTGTAGTGTGCTTCAAAGATGCAGTTCGTTTAGAGATTGAGTATATACTACATAAAGTTATAAAAGGTTACAAAGAAGTAGGTGTACTTATTCCCCTATGAGGACATTAAGAAATACCCATTCCTCTACTGTTCTTAAACAATGAAATCTGATGAATAATTAAAATATTCTGTTCTCAAAAAAAAAGTTTTTACAATATTTACATCAAGAAACAGAGTCTAGAAATGCCTTAAATGCATGACCTACTTTCACAACTAAGATATATCTTGTGAAGTATATCTTAATTTACATGTCATGGATTCTGTGTCTAAAGCTTATTTCAAAGTCATTTGTCCTACAGGAGAATTTTGAAATACTGTCCAGTATGTTTGCTATAAATACTGTGAGATAGAAAAGTAGGTGGTTTTGTTTGACTATTTTTCATGTTGATAAATTGAGGGAAGTTATTTCAGTTGTGACAAGTCTGCTTCCTGTATTGCTGGCTTGATACTATTAGTGTGCATGTTTCTATCTTCAGAGAAGTTATAATATGCTCCTTGCCCAACAGATTTTGAATTCTGAAATCTTCTGGCATCCCAGATCAGGAGCAGAACAATATCTTACATGGTAGCTAAGATAAGATTTTAGTAGTTTTAAATAGGAGCTAAAAGGAACTGTAAGGCACGTGAATTTGGAGATAAGAGGTTATGTATTTTTCATATGTGGGGAATTGGAATGGAGTTGTTCAGAGGACATGAAGAAATTGATTTTAAAGACTGTCTTCAAGATTGTAGGTTTCAGCTTGTCACTCTTCAGAGAAAATGTGTTGCATATTTCCACTCCCAAGAGGCTTCAAAATCAGAAAATGTAATACTAAACTGCGTCTTTAATACCAACTGACGAGGCACTCTTTTCCTGTGCTCTTCCTACTTGCTCATCCTAACAGTTCTCTTGTGACTTTCATTTATGTAAAATTAGGGCCTGCAGCAACAGCATCATGAATAATGGACACAGAGAGTCTAACACACCGCCAAGCTCTGGCAAAGATCTGCTTGCTCTTTACCACCTGAAGCCCTGCTTTAAGTCCGTTAATGAATGTTTAACCAGTGAAAGCTTTAGTCTCAGGTAAAAAGACTTACACTAGAGTAAATCTATGGAGAGCCCCCGTCACCTGAGAACAGAAAAGGTTGTATAGAGGGAGCCGAAACAGGCAGCACTGTGTGTTTGGCCACCTGAGCTCCTCGCCTGTGCCAGTGGGTGCCGTGTCAGTGTCACCGTCCCAGTCACCCCCAGCACTCCAACAGCCTTCACCCCCCTCAGCACATGGCTGCGAATGCTCAATTCAGGCCCTCATGGTAAAAACGGCAATTTTTGGTGGTTCTCCCCTCGCTTTTTTAAGACTTGCGTTGTGTAAACCTGGTCTGGGTCTCGGACTGGGCTTTGTGTTGGATGGCTAATGAGGCTGGTAATCTCATTAGCTCGAGCATGTGTATAAGCCTTCCTTTCGGTCTCTTTGTTGCACCCGCAGCGTGGAGCACTCCAAACGGAAAATAACTGATCAGAGCAGAGGCAAAGTAATCGTGACAAAAGCACATGTGAATATTTTTTTAATCATAACACAACTTGAGACAATATCAAAGGATGGTAACAAAGCTGTTACTGTGCACAGAGCTCATCTGCTGGTAACCAAAGAAAAAACAATAACTAAAAGGAAAAAGGAATCTCAGTAATTAGCAGTGTTGTTGGCCGCAAATTCATGGAGGTCCCTGGGAGTCAGGGGCGTGCGAGAAGCAGGGCCCAGCTCAGGCTCCTCCAGAAGGATGGCAGAGGAAGGGGGCACAAGGCAGGAGGTGATCCAGGGGCATCGGTGGCACTCAGCAGAGGCCTTCGCTGCCAGCTGTCCCCTGGCCCGTGGTGGCCTCCCTGCCAGCTGGCGTGCCACGGCCTGGGAAAGCCACGTCCTAACAGGGGCATGAAAATACTTGCTCCTGCAAAAGGGCTTTTGTGAGCAGGTCTCTACCTCCAAAAAAAAGCAACCAGAAATAAACAACCTGCTGCAGTTCTGGTTTGCGAGGCCTGTGCAAGTGTTTTCCCCGTGTTAATGTATGTGAACTTCCAGGCTTTTGCTTCTTGACTGTCAGATTGAGCCAAGCCCAGTGGCTCCAGCCAAAATGTATTCCAGACCTCAGAGCATCATTCTAAAATTGAAATTAATTTTAAGCTTTTAACAATATTTTAAAACAAGCATAATAAATAGATTGGTGATTTTATACCAGCTTTTCATATAATGCTCTCAACAATTTTGAATGCTAAAGGTCTAAAGTCATCATGACAAATGTAACAGTTTGTAATGGATGGATTTTGCTTGTCTGCTGTAATACAAAGCTTATTCTTAGTTAGCACTTGAGTAACTTTATCTTGTTTGTGGTGATGGCAAACTTAAGCGTGCATTGATGTAAATACAGAATTTTAGGCTAAATCCATGTCACACTGAGTTATTCAGCCCCTTGGTCTAATCCTGGGTCCCAGACTACCAATTCCTTCACTCCTACTTGTCAGCTGCTTGGTCTCACTAAAAGCTGAAATTTAAAATAAAAGCCTTATGAAGGGCAGAAGACATTTTTCTACCAACTAGAATTATTGGCACGGTTGCATTTCTGCAAAATTAATTTTAGTTTTGTGTTGAGGCTTAGAACATATCCTGACAGACATTCCCTCTTGGTGCTTAATTAAGTTAAGACTTGCACATGCTGGATTATTGCATGTCTTTTTAAAAGGAAAACAATTTCCAAGGATTTAAATGCATTTCAGAGTGAAAATTCAGTTTTCAAAAAAAGGAATTTGTGGGTTGAGATTGGAGATGGCGGTTTTTAAGAAGATGTCAGATGAATACTGTTTTCACAATCTTGTGACTCCGGTTAATGTTATTTTCCTGGCTTATATAAGGAACTGAAATAAATAACACTTCCTATCAGTGTTATCACATAGGTTAGGTGTAACACTGTATGAACTGCACATACTAAAAAGCCAAATCTGGTTGACTTAAAAGTCAAATGGCTTATTTAAGATTCTCTGTGTAGTAAGGGGGTTTTTTCCATCCAAAAATACTTAAAAACATTACTCAAATAATTGCTTGTGGGATGGCTGAGTATTTAGCTAGAGAGGCTGGATGACTGTGATCCTAACTGTTCTCTCTGTCGGTGAGTATGCCGAGTTGCATTTTTTATTTTCACAGGGCTTGAGGGGAAGCGAGAAAGACACAATTTGGAGAGCTGGATATCACATATCCAGTCAAAGACAAAGATGCTCAATTTAAGTGTTCAATTTTGTGTTCAAAGGTGCTAAGCAAATCCAGGTAATATCAGCTGAGTTGTGTGAGTTCAACTCTTCCAAAAATAAGGTCCAATGTTCAACATCCTGAAATAACTGAATATTTGGGGAGTGTCATTAATATTTCATTTTTGTGTCATCTGCAAGAATACAGTCTGCATTAGAGCGTGGAGATAAATTACGAATGTTTAGGAAATGCTTACTGTGAGAAAGGTGTTACACGTCCCTTTTATTCTTAGTTATCTCTGACACGAGAAAATAAAGCTGACACATTTTCTTAGCTCTTTTCTTAACAAGAAACAATCCCTCATTTGTCACAGCTTCATCTCCTCTTACTGCAGACAGTCATCTCCCAAATAATCCAGCCCTTGCATTTTTTGCTTTTAGGCACAGTAAGATATCAGGAGTACCTGTAACATTTGTTTTTCGTAAGACGTACCTCACTTGCCCCCGGTGGATTTGCCATTTCTACACAGGTTTCATCTCCCCTGGATGCTGGCCTCACCCTGATTTCTGGGCATTAGGATCTGGTAATCGTCATTTCTGCCATGGAGAGCTCCGAAACGCAGCCCAGCGTGAGTCCCTTGCTGCTGCTGCTGCTGCGGCTCTCGCAGCCGTCCGTGTCACGCCTGGCAGCCATCTTAGACCTGGGCAGAACGCCCATCGGGGTGAGCACAACAACTCGGCTGGGAAGTAAGTAGACAGAAAGATTATGCTAGGAAAACACATAAGATAAATATTTAAGTCCTACAAAGCAAATGGCTCATAATACACTGAACAGTTCTGCGTTCCTTGTGGAGTTTATTTTTTAAAAAATGTATCTCCTTAAATATTTATTTGCTTAAGAATACAAGTGCAACATACAGAGCAGCCAGTGATTAGCCCCAGTTTAATTTCTCTTTTTATGGAAGCTTTGAGAGATTCTGAGTGTTTTCATTATTCTCTTGAACACTAGCTTTTCTGGCTTTTTAGCATTCAGAGTATTACATAAGCAAAGATCGGAAATAAATGCAATAGAAAAATAAAAATGTTGTCAGTGTAGGTATTGCAGTTTGCATAAGCAGAAGCCATCATCCCACATCCAAGAAAAATGAGGTGGTGTTTTGATGGAAAACTGTCTTTTTCCTAATGCATTTCATTTTGAAGCTTCTAATTAACATTCAAGGCATTTTACAGCAGTAGGGCTATGAAATGCCTAACATATATGCATAGAACATGTCTGTGAAGGTGCAGAATGCCTTTGATGTATACCCAGACACAGCTCCTCATCTTTACTGCTAGTCAGCTCTCTGTACACCCATTCAGTAGGTTAAAGCAGCTATCATTACGCACATCCCATTTTTTTATATCATTGTAAGCCTTTTCTGAAACATGCTACCTGCGCAGTCATTTCTGTGGAGGCATTTCCTTGACTTCAGCATGGGCCCACATGAGAGTAAGGAACTCCTGTGTAGGTCTGGGCTGGTAGTCAAGCTACAGTATGCGAGACCGAATTATTTAAGCTAATGTATTTGTATGTTTTTGTGTTCTGTTGCCTTTGGATTTTTTCCCCATACATAAAATGTTCAGATTTTAGGAACATACATAAATATTGCAGAGCTCAGAGACATTTAGCCAGAGTTCTGACTCATTTCACAGCTGCTCCTTTTTCCCAAATATTTGCAAACAGTTGACAATGGTTTCAGTGAATATGTAAAATTATTTATTAAACAGTATCACATCACAGTACCTATGATGTTCTGTGTAATAAAGATAATAGACAAAGGTGAACAAGAATTATATAACTGATTTTAATAGTATCACTGCTCAGTGCAAATAGTCATTGGCTCGTAAATTATTTTCTGATATCTAAACTTGCTAAGGATCCGGAAGTGTTGCCTTTAACTTCCGTGCCTCATAATTTTTGCTGTATTGGATCATCAGGACCTTCTTCAAAGCCACTGAGGCCAAGTGAAGGTGTACTGTTGATTTCAATAGCATGTGAATTTCTCCCCTTCTTAAATGTCTCCTGATTACTTTGAGGAAGATGTTTCCACACAAAACTGAATAGGGTTTGTAGTCAACCAGAATAGCACACCTGAACGTTATAGCACCAAGTCACCTCACTGATGAGCAAACATGACAGTCACAATTGATCACCCATTTGGACATTATCACAAAGGTAGAGACTGATAAATTTGATCGCCTGTTTACAGCCTGACTATACTAATGTCTGGTTAAAAATATTAAAAAGTTAGTGTACACAAACTGATGTTCTTCTGCAGCCCCCTGAGAAAGACAGATACTTGTCCAGAGAACTGTCTAGAGCAGGAGCCTAACTGAATCAAATTTTAGAAAAACCTGGGTGTCTCCGCTGAATGTAGGAGGAGATTGTGGAGGCTCAGTCCTGTATTTCCCATTGTGCCTGCCTGAAGTTCTGGCAGAATCTGTCCTATATTGTTAAATTACAGTAAAGTTTCACAATTGGGGAAAGAGCTGTTAGATGCCATTTTAGAAGCAGCTGTATTTAAGTAAAGGCTAAGATCACTACATATGTCGTGCTTCATAGGAGTCACAAAAATCTGTGTTTGTAGAATACTTTTAACCTCTTGAAGGATGCATGCTGTATGAAGGCAGTGTATCATTTTTGTTATATTTAGTTTAAAATATGTTTTAAAATACTGTGTGTGAAGTTTGTCGTACCCAGATCGCAGGAAACCAAATAGTTTCTATCTGAAATCTCTAGAGAAGTTACCTGCCATGGTACTGCTCTGTCACAACCCTGCTGTGAAAGAATGATGGGACGGTTCAATGTTCTGCCCAGGGCCTGATCCAGGTCCTGTTGAATTCAGTCAGAAAGCTTCCCTTGGCTGCAGCATCCACCACAGCAGATGCTCAGCCATTTACCCCACAACCGCTCTTGTCAGCGAACGTTTGTGACATTTTTAATAGTGAATGAATGGTCTGTAGGAGCAGAGCAGGGACTGCACACCGCTTTGGAAGCCAGAAGATAATCATTATATGGGGAGATGTTGGAAACCGCTGATCTGGCCTGCATTCAGACCCTCGACCATGCTGGGGGATATCCCTACCTTGTCGCCAGCCTCCGAGCCATCTTTCCCTGGTGTAACCACAGTGCGCTACCTGGGGCACACACCCAGGGCATTTACTGGTCTCCTGGGAGTCCAGTGACATTTTGCATTTGTGAATCACTCTGATATTTTGGGTGGAAGGTGCTCTGAAGTCACAAAACGCTTGTTCTGTGTTGTCCCAGAGTCTGTTAGTTAATAAGGCTTTTAATTATATAACAACCCTACTTTAAAACTGTCCCCCTTTCTTATTACATCACAGAAATAGCAGACTTGGCCCTGTGCCTTTTTAAAAGTGACTGGTGAGGTATTTATTAGCGTCAGTTCCAAGAGATTTTTCAGTGAGCAGTGAGAGTTGGGAGTATGAAAATGTCATATTTTTCCTAGTATTAAACAGTTGTTAAACTAGAAACATAACTCTTGCCAGATAGTTATTTTGTATGCATGTCTTCTTCATAGAAAGAAAATGAACATGCATTTTTCTTTCATTAAGTATTTAAAGTTCATCCTTGTTTGGTGATCTAGTCAATTAAAGTAAGTTTATGAGCAGCTTGTGAGAGCAGAAGACTAATTAATTTTAGGTGTTGGTTAAAGCACATTCTCTTCCATTTTTGTCTGCTAATGAGTACTACTAATGCCCATAATAACAGATCTTATAGAAAATAGTATTACAGAAAGTTTATGGTTCTTTAAAAATAATTATCTCAATATCTTTGAAACGACTCCTATTTTTATGGGAAAATGCACATTAAGGCAACATCGTATCAGAACTGCACATAAAGAAAAGGAATATTTAACATCGTTATCATCGTAGAAAGTAAGAGAATCCTTTTGAAATGGTTAATAAGAGCTCAAATGTTTTTTCAACAAGGGTGAACATTTTCCAATTTCCCACCTAGCATTGCACCTAAAAGTGAAAGTGAAGATATATTAAAGATATAAATCCCTAGAACATATTCAGGGTTTCCAGAATATTGCCATTCTATGGATCTATATTTTCACTTCTAAGAGTCACTGGAATCAGCTCTGAGTGTAGGTTCTTTATCCAAAATTTCCAGTCGTTGGAGGTGTTTGGGTCTGTGGGGTAGTTTGGGCTTTTCACTACTGTGAACGCATCCTTTTCATGCCAGATTGGTCTTTGAACTCATTTCACTGGACCATCCAGCATAAAGAGTTGCTGCACTGAAAGGTTATGTTGTTTTTATTTTTCCACTATAAAGCAAATGCTGATACAAAAGTCTCACTTTGAAGTCAATCACACAATACACAGCTTTCCTCCAATTATGTTATGTTAGGCTGTTATGTTTATATAAGTGTATGGTTTATTTTACACTGAAGGCACTTTCTGTGAGGTGACTGCACAATACCCAGGTACCCACCCAGCATTGCTAAAACTCACGGATGTCTGCATAGCGTCTTAGCCAAAACTCCGATACAAATTCTTGGCTCTTAGGAAAAATACTGAGATCTCTGACCGCACGCATAAAGAAGATGTTTGTTTTAAAATATTTTGTCTAAAAACCAGAGGTACAGGGTAGGGGGTTTTTCAGAGGATCACTGAGAGAGTAATTGGCCTTGCCAAAAAGCTGGCACTCAGAAAATGCAGGTATTTAAACCCCTTAAGTACAAAATTATCATGCTTTCTGCTACAGAGATTTCCAAATGGGTTTCTTTGCTAGTGGTTAGAGAGTGGCTTTTGCAACCAGTTTTTACCAGTTTACATTAATGAGATGTTGAAATCTCTCATGCTATTCCTTTTGTATAGTATACAAAGAATATCTTAATGTATATCCTTTTTGGCCTACAAGGGCATTGATGTTACAAGATACGAAATCTGGGGTTATACAGTATTTCCTCCACTACAGTGGTCTCAGAATGGACAAAATTGCACCATTCCTGTTTTGTGCGATAAATACGCACCATGTACAGTTCATTGCAACCAGTAACCTCTTTCTACACATGGTCTCAGTCCACTGCAGTGAAATGATCTTTAAAGCTGACGGTATAATGTTGGCTTCTATAGATTAACACATTGATATCTATTTTGCTCAGACATCTGCATTCTCCTTCCTTCTCTGCTTTGTTTAAAAGTGTGTTTGTTCCTGGAAGGTGAAGTAGCTGATACCTCTGCCTGCCTGCCTCTGGAGTGCTCTTAACGTTTAAGTTAAATCTGAAAAAATACCTTTTCTTTTTTCCACTATACTTTGTCTCTTTCAAATTGGGGGTTCCCTGTGGGCCATGGTATAATTGTGGTAGTAACAACTGAATGAGAAAGCTGGTGCTGTGCATGGTTCTCCTTGAGAAAATGTACAGAGAAGCTGCTCTTTGCTTTTGCACATGTTCTCACTCACCTTATAATTGTTTCAGTGTGCAATGAAATGAAATTGATATGTGTTTTCTCTTGCTCCCCTCTTTTTAGGTCCCCATATCAATTATGCTGAAAGCAGTAGCTGATAACTTCAGTTACCCTGAAATGTGACCTACTGCCTTTGGGGTGAGATCTGCTTTATTGTGAAACATCACTTTAGTTTATCTGTGTGTGGCTGATGGATGTATCATTTACTGTTTTCTTTAGTTAACTGTTAACAAAAAGTAAGTTAGCTGATTAAGTTAGGGTATTTGTTTTAAAAGTTTGCTTATATATTAAAGTAGTATTTATATTAAAATATAGACTGGTATCTCAGTTATTTCCACATTTTTAGATCTGCCCTGAGTGAGAAGTATTGTAGTCCATCAAATCAGGTGGTAGGGAATAACAGCCTGCTCAAACCATAGCATAAGTGTGAGGTTAGAGTAGATTATAGTAGAGTGGCAATTTTGCTAGTCATATTAACCAAAGTCTGTGTAGTACAGTAGGGTATGTTTAGTTTGGCCATTGATTCAGAGCTGGGTTACTGTTCATTGAGAAGTAGCATATTGTTTAAGTAGGCCATAACATTTCCTCACAGTCTTGACAAATTCTTTGTTCAGTCTTATGGATTGACCCTTGCAGAACTTGGGAAATTCAGTTAGAGAAACTCAGATCTTACCCATTAGGGTAATAGAGGAATATCTGGAAGCATGTTACACAATCCCTCTTAAGTCATCATCCACTCTCTAAGTCACAGTGATGCCTTTCTTGAAGTGACAAAACTGGTTTGATAAGATGCAGTCATGTCAGAGCTGGAGGTATAAAAGTGCATTTATTAAAAATGAATGCTCTATCCTCTTCCCCCTCATATATCTTGTCACTGACATGACTTCACAAGTTGCAAATCTTAAACCTTTTGAACATGAAACTAGAGCTCATTAAGCAAAACGTCTACTGGTATATAGCAAACTGTTTCAGACTCAAGGCTGTTAATATTTGTCTCCAGATTTTTTTCTCTTCTAGGTTGTCACCAGGCAATCCAGCTGTCTGGGAATACAGCTTGCATTTCACCTGATCAGAGGCTGACTGTCCTTTGGGGTGAGGTAGTAGGTTGTATAGTTTTAGGGTTATGCCCTGCCTGTCAGATAACTATACAATCTACTGTCTTTCCTGAAGTGGCTGTGATATCATCGCTGGATATGTCTTCAAAAGACAAAGCAAATATTTTTCAACTGTAGCATTACCTGGCTCTGTCTACTTGTTGGATTTGTTTCTTGTAACAGGGTTATGAAGGTACACAAATACAGTGTTTATATTCCTGTATTTTCCATTCAGGTTCAAAAGCAATTTCCTTTCTGTCATTTGCTCAGAGAAGATGGGGTGTAGGTGACAGGGCACAGAGACATGACCCAGTCTGCAATGGGGCTTGCTCACACTCAGCTTTCTCAGACTGCCATGAGGGTGGCTGTTTGGAAACAGCTGACCAAGTTCTCCATTACGTTGTGGCATTTGTGTTCATATTCAGTGGAAAATCCCACTTTTGATTCAGCAGCTATTTAAATCCACTGTGCATAGGCTGTTTGAGAAACTATGAAGCGATGAGCTGGACAAAAACCAAAGAGGATGTTGTCCAGTTGCTCGCATTCTCCCCTGGAACTGGTAAATGCTTAGGCCCTAAATAAAGAGGTTTCTTTAATCAGTTTTTGTAGTCTGATTTAACTTGCTTTTTTTATTACATAATGCTAATTCGGAAGGGACAGTGCTTGCCACTGCAGTTCTTATGTCTCTGGAGTCACCCCACCAGTTCTGAATGACTTCCAGGTAGAACTGTGAGGAAGGGCTGACAGGACATAATTACAGTATTTTTAAAGCTAAGAAATGCTTTTTAAGGCTAGAAAGCACTAAAGGGAATCTTACTTGCAAATGGTGAAATGTTAGTTTCCTTCAGAAGATGTGCTTGATGCTCTAACAGGATGAGGTAGTAGGTTGTGTGGTTTCAGGGTAGTGATTTTGCCCCAATCAGGAGATAACTATACAACCTACTGCCTTCCCTGATAAGCAGCATAACAACATCAGTGTCTTAATTCACAGAAAAACAAGAGCTAAAATACACTTCTGAGACCAGCAAAGTAAGTCTAGATACAATTGTTGTTATCCTGTCCCTAATAGCTCTAAATTTAGCGTCTTGCATTATTTTTAATAACTACCTGCAAAATAATTATCTTTTTAAAAATCTTTACAGTGAAGAATTGAATTAAAGAAGTTTTGTTTATTTCAAAGTTTGTCTGCTCTTGATCTGTTTCGTTTCTGGTTCATTTGAGTAGCATGAAGTTATCGTGGGAAATTATTCCAAAAGTGCTGTGAACTTGCATTTGAGATGTTCATATTTCCTTGACATCTAAGTTTGAGTTCAGGAAATTTTACTAGCAATGAACTGATTTTGTTCAGCCTTACCTCAGCCTCAGGAATCTTCCAGCATTCAACAAATAGTACCAGATTAAGTCACACAACATTCTCCAGCAGGTCAGGTTTATATTACAAATAAATAGTGAAATAACAGTGAAAATAGAGGACTGGATTTTAAAAAAACAGAGACATTGATTTGGACCCTCAGTTTTCCATAAGCAGGCTCATTTCATGACATTTAAATGCCCCCCAAAAGAGAATTCACTGCTATCTAGAAAGCATAAATTGCATCTGGAAAACCGTGGACAGAAAATGTTAGGCCTATTAAAAATATTTTGAGAATACAAACTACAGAGAGTCACACCAAAGAACTGTGGAAGAAAAGGAATATAACAACAAGGTGCTGGTTGTGATTGTGGACATGGAAATTGTTCTCCCGCATGCAAAATATACCAGAAAATAGGAATCATGTAAGCCTTAAGGTTACCTTAAGACCAGAGGTATCAGACTGTTATATATAACCATATTTTGGTTATACAGCATCTTGTTACTGTAGAGTGGACTGAAAATTTAATTAGTCCTAATCTTCTATTCCTATCTCACATGCTACGGAAAAGAAAACCTTGTTCACGTAAAAAGCATTACCCTCATATCTGTAGCTATGCAAACTGTGACATCCACAGTGAGAGCAAATGAAAAAACGGATGTTACATTCAACAGCAAAGCTGGGTATTTTACTGCTTCTCTGGTTCAAAAATATCACACATATCTGGGCTCAGATGGTATTTGAGGTCATTCAACACCTCAAAACAGGGCCTTTTGTTAATACCTTTAATGAAAGGTTAGGAATGTTATTTGACTCATGTTCATAGAGAGGAATAAAGGCCGTTGGTACATGAGGAAAAATTGCTGCGTGTCTGAAAAACATAGGAAAATAGGCAATACTGTGGCTGGTTTTAATCTTCTCTTTTCTTCTTGCTGTTTAAAGAGGATCCCTTAATTTAAAACTGCTGTAAGGATACTTACCATGCTGGCCATGTTCACGGGCTGCGGGACATGCATTGCAGATTCTGAACTCTCTTTCTTCTGCTGAAAATGCAGACTCACAGCTGCAGTGTAAACATCTTAGATGAGCGTGAGTAGTGATTGCACTGTGTGTAGCTTAAAACATCCTGCTCCTCTCCAGGACGCAAAATTGGCTGGAAATTTCTAGTTTAGCCTTACATTCAGTAACTACATAGCAAATGTTCTGTATGGGAGAAAGGGGTGAACAGAGGGAAAACTCTCCACATTCTACAACAGCCTGTTAGATCTCATCTCTGAAGTCGTTTTAAAATCTTTTGGCTCTGCCTGGGTCAGCATTTTGTTCCTAGTAATGAGCTGTGAGTTTTCAGATTCTAGTCATTCTGGCAATCCCATTAAAACAAAGGGCCAAAAAAATCCATAGTGTTCTCTTCACTATGATCTACAGTAAATGCAAAAACATGTGCCTATATTTAGCAGTGTGCAAGCCTGCAGTTAATCAGGTCTGTCCTTAGCAGAAGGTGTCATTACAGCTAATGGGACCTCCAATAGAAACTTTAAAGCACAACTCTGTGGTACCAAATATTTTCCAGAACTGTATACTGAAAATGTTTGTATCAGAATGTAAGTAGTAGCTTGGGCTGCTAGAATCATGAAGAAAAACAAGCTGTTTTTTTTAAAGCTCAAGTCAGCATTACTTCTTCTGGAGGTCATGTGCTGTGGTGGTGCACAAAGTGTGAGGAAAAAGCATAATCGTGTATGCGTAACATATGATAAGCGTCTATCATGACATACACTTTTATAATCTGTGCCTGCTTAAACATTTTTTTTTATTATTTTTAAGTGTAGCAGCAGTATTAATCGATGTGCAGAAGCTCAATACATCTTGCTGGGACAAGCCAGATGAAAATGGGTGGGCGAGGGATTTTCTGTGAGGCCAGATTTCAGTTGTTAGTTTCCCTTCTGTGCCCTGGATAAAGTATGTGGTATTTTTGAGACAAGGTACGAAAAAGACATCAAGCAGATCCCTGCGATTAAAGCTACTGCTGCTGAATTTTAGATCTCTGCTGTGTGGATGTGTGAAGCATTATACCATGATCCTGTTCAAGGTAGTTATGTTATTGTTGACTTTTTTTTTAATGTGATTTAAAACCAGATGCCCAGAGTGAAAATTTTGACCTCATTTGGGAAGACACTAAAGGTAAATGTTTTTAGACAATCCTAGTAACAGGCTGTGCTACCAGCCCCACTTGTGAAAATCCAGCATTGCAACTGTACGTAGGTACCATGAAGTGCCAGCTGCTGGGGCTGTTCCTCCACGGCTGCTCGTGAGAGGGCGAAGACCTTGAACACAGATGTAGTTCCTGGGCGCTCTGCTCAAAGGGCAAATTACAAAGGGGGATTTATACTGGGAGAGAATCCAAAAATGCAGTAAGACCAGAGCTGGCATGCCAGTCCGTGCTGGTACAGATTCAACATGACACACCACGTACTGCTAGACAGGAGTGGCGCTTGTGGTTACAGAGAGAGCTGGTGCTCCTCGGGAAAGAAAACATGCCTGCCTGCCCTTGTGCTCAGAAATATCCCCCACACAGGGCCTGGTCCCAGGATTCTGCTCATACTGGGAGACAAATATTAAATGAGAGCAAAATGAAATGTTAGCAGAAGTCATCTGTAGTAAAACAACATGCACTGTTAAGAGAATTGGAGGTCTGAGCATATTGCTAATTACCATGAATGTGATTGTTCACAGCAGTTACGTAGAGATGGCGTGGCTAAAACCTCTTTGGGCTTGGAGGGGTTTTTGTAACTAACACCATGCAGTTCTCAC